AATTTTAAAGAAAAGGAATCTTTTTTTTTGCTAATAAAGTCATGCGATCCGCAACAAAACTGAGACATTTTCATTTAATATATAAACTCTGAAGAGAAGAAACCTTTTTTCAAGAAGAAACCAATATATTGTCACGCCCCATAACCCAAATTCGGGGACGTGGCAGACGCCGTGCACTCGTGAGACAGGTCCCACAAATGCACAAGGCTCGGAACTTAATCATATCATACTCTGATACCATCAAAATCTGAAGATCAAATCTTTAAAATTTGCTCTGATATCATAAAATCTCCAAATACACTCTAGCTTACAAGATCATTATTTATCTCTAAAATCTATATCAATCTCGAAATGGCTAGCTTTCTAACTCGTCACTTCCCGTGGTTTTCTCATCCTCGGTTTCGCTTCCCGAAATGGTGGACAAGGAAAAACTATGAGATAAACTCAGTAAGTAAAATATGGAGTGCCCCTTGTTAAACTTATAGCATGCCAACATGTGCAATCACACAAAACGGATACAGTACGGGAACAAAATAGACGTCTCCTCTATAGGTCATGGCCAGTGTATTAAACTTCCCACTGACAGGCACACGATTTACTAGTTTATAATCCCCACTAGCAAGGTCACTTGTACGAACCGGTTCTATCACTAACATATCGACATGTGCCGACATGTGCTAGCATTTAACCCTCACTAGCAGGGTTACAAGAACATAACCACATTGGAGACAAAACAGGCAGAAGTTAACAGAAAAATCATAATTCACCAATCACTTTCAAATCATCAGGACAATCACTTAAATTTCAAGTAGGCATGCTCAATTTAATGAAAAGCATAAAAATTCCACTTCAAATCAATCATGCTTGTATAAAACGGGTTTAGTCCCGCCACCACTTCAAAAGCAAATCAAAACATGCTTTTAAAATCGAAGGGCGTTACCATAATCTACTTACCTCACTTGCATAAAACCGAGAACTCAATCTCAATGCTAACTGATAGAACGATCGGAAACCTAATCAAATATTCAAGGATCAATACCGTACTATCACAATTTCAAAGTGAAATCATCATTAGGATCACTCTTAATCACGGTGCTATTTTTATGAATCTCCACATTATCAGATATCTCCAAATTCGTTCTTATATCACAAACTAATCATTTAAATCCCCGTTAATTGTTGGCCCTTGGTGTGTGAACAGTAATTTGTGAACAGTACCGTAAACAGTTCTCGTGAACTAAACACGACGTGAACAGTAACTCTACTTCCACAAATTGGCCAAAACACTAACTAATTCACGGGATTTTCTCCAAAAATCACATAGCAGTCAATTAACACTCAATCATATAAATTCCACTTGAATCAATGCTTAAATCTCATCCTAAAGTTACCGGAATTATCCCCCATTTTTAGCCAAATTCGGACATCACAAAGCAGCAACTTTAAATGGATAATTTAAGCCCTAAATGGCTGTCACATACCAGAATGTTCCAGCAAGAACCGGACCTAGCAGGGGGAAGAAGCCGGCGGCAGTGCAGGGGAGAAACTCACGGATCTACCCAAAATTGAAGGAAATAAGAGCAATCAAAGTTAACCCAAGCCAATTCAAGCAAGAACAAAGGAAATTAGCGGCTGTTCTTACCGAAAAAATGCCCAGAAATCACCCATACCCACTAGCAGCCGGCGGTGAAGACAAGCAGAGCAAGGCAGATCTGGAATTTCCAGCAAGGGGGAAAGATTTCTGGGTTCCAAATCAGGTTCTTGGACAAGAAAGAAGGAGAAATTCCAAGCTTTCTCACCAATTTTTCAAAGCTGGTGCCGGCGGCTTGGAGGGGGGATTTCGGGAGCTGCAGCGAGAAGAAGAAGATGAGCAGAATCGGGCTGGAGAAAAAGAGGAAAAAGGAGAAAAGAAATAAGCAATCCTTATCCAAATTTCTACTCTTTTAAGCCCCTCAACTTTGGATATTTTGCTCTTAAGCCCAAAACAATATTTTTCCACAATTTAACCCCTAACTCACTTATTTATTCTAGAAATTTTTGGGGTATTACATAGATAAACTCTGAAGAGAACATAACAAAATCAAGATTGAAGAACTAGCTTGATAGATGGTGTGCCTGTAAGATTGGCAGAAGAATTGAAGGAAGTCAAGATACCAGTAACGAAATTAGGCCAAGCAATAATTTGAAGTAGGTTAATCGCAATTGCAAAGCCTAAAAATTATTTCTGATAAGAAGTGTTGAGCCGGCCAAGGAAAAGAAAGAAGATAAAGTAGGCAAGTCAATGCAAAAGTCTAGAGGATATTTCTTGGAAGATGCATAGTAAATAGGCAAAAAC